CTCTCTCTCTCTCTTTTCCTTCTTTTTCTTGCCCTTCCTCGCTTATATTTCCCTTTCTCGGGCTCTGTCCTTTCTCCCTCCCTCTCTCTCTCACACACATTCTCCTCTTTCTCTCTCTCTCTCCCTCACTCTCTGTTGTCCCCCTCTCTCTGGTACCCACACTCTCGTCCTCCCTCCCTGCTGTCTCCCTCCCTCCCTCCAGTGCTTCCAGCAGCGCTGTCAGTTCGTCGGCCAAGAGGAAAACCCCGCGCAACAATTGCAGCGGGAAGCGGACCTTCACGGCGGCGGCGCCGTCCCATATTGTGTCCGTGTGCGCCGCAGGGCTCAGCGCCCCGGGCCTCGGGCGCCATTGTTGTGTCCGCCCGGCCGGGGCGGTGTGTGCTATCCGAGACAGACAGGCAGACGGTCAGACAGACGGCCAGACTCAGACACCCAGACAGACGGGCAAAGGCAAGAATAGAATAAGACGCGCGTCGCCCCATTCGTTTCCAAAGATAGCATCTCGCGCTGAGACAATCGGGCATTCATTCCAGGAGTGAGCGGGCAGTCTCGCCCCGGCCGAGGGCCTCCACAGCGGGGGGTGGGCGTCCGTGGGGGTCCGTGCAGCAGCGCAAGGAGTGTCGCTGCTGGGCGCGAATTCCAAGAAAAAGTCGTGCGGGCCGCCGTTGCCAAACACGCAGGCGGGCTGTCGCCTCGGGCTGTCGCAGGCCAGGGCCCCGGGCCGCGGCCCGCAGGTGCTTGTGCTCGCAGCGGCGATAACCATCAGCCTAACGGCCACCGGGGCCGATCGGACCGGACCGTCGCAGGGCCGGCGGGTGGACGGCAAAGGCGCCCCGTACGCCGTCGGGACCAGCGGGACCCGGTGGAGCCGTTTGTCGAGCCGCGAAATAAAAGGAGAAAGGACACCTCTGCAAGGTTGGCATGAGACTCCGATTCGTGCCTGTGACAACGAGGCAAGGGCAACTGAAGTAGTGAATTTGTGAATTATTTCTCTCGTTCTTTCAGTTTTACTCAGAGATTTCATAAAGGCCTTGCAAATCAGATGTTTTGTACCAAGCGCTATAAGACAGAGGGGGAAAACGAAATTTCGGGTCATCTCTTAACCAATTCCTTTTTACCTACAATTTTTAATTCCTCTCCTTTATGAATCCTCACCCACTCTGACACAAAGTCTCTGACATCTAAGTCAAGTGCTTTCTAGGGAAACACACGGACACCAAAAATTGTTCGCATAAGAGGTTTGTTCTTGCTTCCTTAAAGCAACAAAGAGAACGTCCAGAAATATGCATATCCGCGCGTTTGCGTAACCCGTAGTCGATCGCGCAGGACACGCGGTGCGGTGTGAGGCTGTGTGAGGTCACAGCGTGCTCAATACTGCCTGATTGGTAAACCCCTCTCCCCCTGCTGCCCTCCAGGAGGGTCCAGAGGCAGCTGGAGGCAGCAGGAGCCACGCACTGTTTGTTGTGAGACCCTCACACCAGCAGCAGGGTCCGGCCCGGAGAGACTGGACGTGATCGGGGTGAAGGGCTCCTCGGAGAGCTCCTCGGAGGGCTCCTCGCAGGACTTCCCCTTGGGCTGCTCGCAGGACCCTTCGGACGGATGCATGGGGAATGTGCCGCTCCGCCGGAACCGGGCAGGATCCTATATTCAGCGCGCCCTTCGAGGACCTATTCTCTCTTCCCCTGGGGTGGGGACCGCCTTTTGTAGTAATGAATAGGATTACGCCGGGGAAAGTGTCCTTTTATTGTGTTATACGTCAATTGTTAAATCTGTTTTCCCTTTACTGCTGGAGCAATCAGTCGCGCGACTGATTGTGACACCGTCAAGTAAGCACTCACTCACTCACTCACTCACTCACTCACTCACTCACTCACTCACTCACTCACTCACTCACTCACTCACTCACTCACTCACTCACCCACCCACTTACTCAAATACTCTCTCACTGTCCCTCCTCCCACTGTTCTCCCCCCTCCCTCTACCCATCTCTCTCCTCTTCCGTCGAGCACACAAAAGGGGCGGCCTGATTGTCACGTTGTTTACAAATGCAGAAATTAGCGGTGGCCGCGAGAGGGGGTGGGTGTCGGTCGGGGCGCGCCGCCTACGCGCTGGACTGTCTGCAACAGGTCGCCAATAACTCAGTGGTCCGATGGTAGTCCATACGAGCATCTCCCCCTCCCCCTCTGCCCCT